TGTGACTTAAGGGTACTCGTGGCAGTGTAGCCGAGTGGTTAGCGTGTCAAGCTCTTATCCTGCACTGTCGTGGTTAGACTCACGCTGAGGGTGTTGATAAGACCAAAGCGAGGTCGAAACTGCAGTCGACTGGTGCCTGGATGAGAACAACTTTTGGGAAAGCAAGGCTATGTGAAAGTCAATGGGAAAAGTCAGCTCAACTTATATCATTGTGGGAAAATTCTACTACCAATCCTTTATCATCTTAGACGAAATAGGGTAAATACATCTCGTAAGAATAATTCGGATTGCGTCAAAATTTCCAAGTATATCTGTCTCGTACTTTAGACAGATCAGGAATTTTGCATAATTTAGTCTGCATTTAACTGGAACATGCATGCTGATGCTGTATTCGAGGCAATCTCCTTCGATTCCGGTGAATGGGGGCTGATCTCTCGTACGTCACACGACGGATGTCATCGTCACAACCAAATTCAAGTTAACGAGCAGGTGACTTTTCTTGACTCGTTAGCTTGAATTTGGTTGTGACGATGATACCTCGCTCTGATGATGTCCGTCATTTGACGGACGAAAGCTTAGCACCTTTTCACCGGAATCGAGTGAGATTGCCTTGGAAACAGCGTCAGCATGAATGTTCCAGTAAAGCCAATCGACAGCTGGTCGCCTTTCGGTGGAACCGACCTTCGAATCTTTTCACCCAACACTTCCACGCGAAATGAAAGTAGGCTTAACAATTATGAAGCAAGAGATTCCTCGAAATGCAACTTTTCTCCGAAGAATATAATCAGTCCAAGTTTTTGATGATTTAAAGATCGATTTAAGAAGAGAGGTAAGAAAATAAGTTGGCCCAACGCCATTAACTTTCAATTGGCCTTGCTTCCAAAAAGGCTATCTCATCCCGACTGGACCCAATTGGACTGCATCTCGCATCAGCACCTTCAACGCGATTAAAGTCCGGCTCGTGGGCATCGTGACGAGACGAGACGAGACGAGCTACGCCTTGACTACACGGCCATAGCGACCATAGGGTGGCAAATCTACACTTGTCACTGCAATAGACGACGTCACTTGTTGTCGAAAAAACTACTTTTCCACACTCCGTCAGTTTGAGAGCTGATTCGAGTGCAAATTGTTCTAACGGGGCCACTGTTAATGACGCGAAGAGGAAGGAAGGCTTTACTTTCCGAGTTTAGCGTATGGAAGTACAATGTCAGCACTCAAGACGACGAGGCCAAACGGACTGGACGCCGCTCGAGTTGGCATAAAAGTGCCTGTTTCAACAGACTGACTTGTTGTCTCTGTAGCGTTGTTATGACGACTAAAAACAAGAGCGTAAACACTGCTTGTGGCCGATGAGGCGAGAGTTGTTCGCAATGTTATCGCTCGAACGAAAATATGTAGAGGCCGAGCTGATTTGTCATATCGACTGACTTGCGTAGGGTCAGCCCAGCCGTGCCAACGTGCGTGCTCATATGTGTATGCTTGTGTGCGGGCATGGGGGAGGGCGGAGGA